CCCCAAAACCCCAAAACCCCAAAACCCCAAAACCCCAAAACAAATGATCTAAATTGAATTTATTCTAAATGCCATATATTGTTTATTAGTCCATATGTGGAATCTCTGCTGCAGATTTATATCTTTTAAGCTGTCTTTCAATTTCGCTCTTTTCTTCATTCAGGGTTTTCAACTGCTTATTCTTCTTTTTCAACAGATCTATACGGGATCAGAGTCTTATAACTCCTTATACCAACCTTTATACAATCTGATTTCATTCTTAAGTCTTTTCTTGTCCTCTCTGCAGAAGGCGAAGTGGTAATTATGATGCTTAAAGTACTGCTTTAAGGTGTCAAAGCTCTTGTTGCATCCTGCTCTATGCTCACCTAGCTATTAGGTATTAGCCTTACACTCTATCTTATGTTCGATTGTCTGATTGGGGTTAGATACCTTGTTCTGGATCTCCTTCTGCTTCTGGTCCTCTTTAGTTTCTTCTTTGATTTGGCTATTATCTTGTTCTTGCTTTTCTTTAGCTAGGGTTTTGGCTTCCTTCTCGATGTCTTTATCTTCTACTTTCTCAAGCATTCTAGTGTGCCTTTCTCTCTCTTTCTTTTGCTCCTCTGTGAGCTCGTTTTCATCCTTTTCTCCATGTACGAGATCTTTGAATGAAAGAGTACATTTTTGGGCATGCTTTTCAAAAGTTTGTCTTCTGTAGAATTTCTTATGGCCTAAAAGAACTTGGATAATCAAATTACATTTTTGTCATTCATAATCCCATAAGCTTTCATCATCATGAATTTTTACATGGATTTTTAGGTCATGGTTATATCTAGAAGGTAATCAAAGTCATACTTGAATTTATTTTGATCATTCTTTACAATCAAATGTCTCCTTATTAGGCCTAGGTAAATTCTTTAGTCTAGATATCTCCTGCTGTACTAGCTCGGTATTAATCTGAAGCTGGGCCTGATTAACATCAATGTCTTGGTTCTTGGATGCATCACCTAGTATTTAGCATCAGAAATACTTTCAAAAATGAGATCAGTTAGTTTCTTCATTTTCCTAAAGGTTTATGTAAGCATTACTCATTGTATTCATTCTCTGTATGTAATGCATTATAATGCCTCATCATGTTGCCTTTTTGTGAGAATATTTTATCACATAAACCTCACCTAAACTGTCCTTGGGCACTAAATATAAGATAAGATCGCAAAGAAAGATTGCTTTGGATTAAATCCTTTATTCTAACTGTGAGTCCCAAGAACTTTAGTGCTCAGTTAATAATCCCAAAGTGGGGCACAAAGGTTCTTTGAGTCTAATAAATAATCCCGAAGGTTGTTCCTGAGGAATATTACTACTCGTTATCTAGTTTGACACCAGAATTTTTAGTTCTTTTCTGAGCTATTTTATTGTTCATGTTCTTTTTCAATATTTTTACTATAAAATGGGGTTTTGGGGTTTTGGGGTTTTGGGG